TCAAGTAGAAAGCAAATGTTTTGAGAATGATGATGGCAACAAATGTACAAATGTGCTTGACACAATGGATGTATGGATTGTGATAAGTGTTGTCCAGGCCCCCAATAAAATGATTAAAAAAGAGGAATTGTAGTTCCAGCTGTTTGTTCTGAAGAACTATGTCTGCACACATGTTTCAAAACACATGGAAAAGAAAGAAAAAACACGGAGAAGAATCTGCGTTGCAGCATTGTTTGCGATTGAAACAACCTAATTGCAAAAACCTAAATGACCATCAATAGGCTGCTGATTGAGTAAATGATGCTCCGTTTACACAGTGGAATACTCTGCAGCTTAAAAGAGAATGGGGCCACTTTGTCGGAATGAAGTGGAATGATGATTTCTATAAGATATTGTTATGTAAAACCAAACAGGGAAGGGAGGGATACATGTTGGATACTAACCTGTATAAAAGAAATTGCACTGATTGTAAAAGAGTAGATGCTTGCATGTCTATGGTTTACTTCACAGACGGGTCACACTGATCACACAGCTGTCACCAGAGGAATGGGGAGTCAGGGATGGGAGGAAGACTTACTGCCAATGTATACTATTTGTATCTATGAAAATCTGGTAGGTACAGGTGTTTTTTTTTTTTTTTAAAAAATGGTATTTAGAGATTCATTAGCTGCCTAATCAGGTACTATGCTGTGCATTAGAAAGACACAGTTGAGCCGGAGAACTTATATACATTGTAGTTCTCTAGGGCTAAGCCTTTGGAGTAGAAGCTGTCCAACCACACTAATTTGCTGATGATCTCCAATCTCCTAAGCTGATAGCTCTCCCCTTTATATTTGCAGGCCGGAATGCTTCCCTGAGCTCAGACTTGGTTAGCCAACGGTTGGCCCCGCAGGTCGTTTAATTGTCTAAAGTGTCACTCCACATGGGCTCTGACCAGAACTGAGCTGGTTCTTTCTTCCCTCTCCTTTGACAACTCAGGTAAAACAGACAAACAAAAACCCCTTAAGTTCTTGCCTCTTTTCCTCCTTTCAAGCTTTTACTCATTCTGTTTACTGTCTTTTGAAAATATAGCTCCATTCTGACCATTTCTCGGCACCCCCATCCCTCTCGGTCTATTCCCGTCATCATCTCTCCTGTGTGAAGTGTTGGGTAACCTCCTGATGCAGAAGGTCCCAGACTTTCTTGGTTAGGGACGTACTTAAGGTCTCAGTAATTTGCTGTAGTGGATTAGTTGTTGTGCAACTAAACTGCAAGGTTGGTAGTTCGAACCCACAAGCTGCTTCACGGGAGAAAGACAAGGCTTTCTGTTCCTGTAAACATGTACAGTCTCAGGGTGGTTCCAGCCTGTCCTGTAGGCTCACGGATGAGTTCCTAACAATCTGATGGCAGGGTGGGTTGGGTTAAGGTAAGGTGACCAGATTTTAACATTGGTAAAGCGGGACACCATTGATAAAACTCATATCCTGGCAAAATAGCCACATGGCAGTCGAAAACTGTATACCCTAGCCTTCTTTCCAAAAATCGGGACTTTTTAAAAATGCCGTGGGAGGCGAGGAAAAATTTGTTAAAATTCAGGACTGTCCCGCCTAAAGCAGGACGTCTGGTCACCTTAGTTAAGGCCAAAACAAATACTTAAAATTTCCTTTTAGGAAGTAATCAGGCATATCCAACGTCATAAAGAGTTATGTCTTAAAACTATAGAACCTGTTGGCACCGCACAGCTTCTCAATCACTGGGGGTCTCTATGAGGTACTGCCGTCCTCTCCTGCTCCACGCGGCTTTTCACGAGGTATCGGGTGCTTTTCATAGACATGGCCTCATTAGCCTAGGACAGCGACTTCAGGTGGAAACTGTAAACTGACTCAAGTTCATGTTGTGCCTGACAGATGCCACTGGGTTTTTCTCAAGCCTGAAATACCCCGAGGGACTCCTGCAGGTTTGCTCTGACCAACCAGGGCGTCCCAGGGCAGTGATCCCAGCTGGTCTCCCTGCGCCTGCTCTTGCTCCCCAAGAGACAGTCAGAAAGATGGAAACACCAGCCCTCGGCTCCTCTTCCTCCAAGGGCTTTCCAGTCTTCCCAGCTCCCCACTGTGTCCAGTCACACTCTGCCACCACCCACCAGCCTCCCACGCTCCGACCTTTCTGCTGGCCTCACTGCACTCAACCACAGCGGCCACCTAGCCACATGGCGCTGCCTCCGGACCCCTGCACTTGTTCTTGGCTTTGCCTGGGAGGTTCTTCCTTCAGAATACAGCCGACTTATCTCCTTCCTCAAGCACTTACTCCTTCCTATGTTCAAATATTACCATTTCCGTGTGGCGTGGCATGCCCATCTAGCTAGCCATCATTATGCCTTCTCCAGATTTCTCCTGGACCTTTCCTGTCTTTTTTTTTTAGGGGGTGGGTGGAATTGGTGCCTGTGCACACACACAAACTACATATCTCAAACCGCACCGTGTGTGTGTGTGTGTGTGTGTGTGTGTGTGTGTGTACATGTGTTTGAGCCCTCTAGAAAGCAGATTCCACGCTTGAATGGGAAGTACAAGATCCATCCTGGAGAATTGCCCGTGGGTGAGAATGAGAAGAAAAGGCAGAAGTAGGCAGGGGAACCTTCCCGCTACAATGCAGTCTCACATCCAAAAAGAGAGGGGGCAGGAGGGGGAGGATGGGAAGAGCCTCCTACTGCACGCTAGCCTGAGAAGGCCTCAGACCGTCAGCATGAGCGCCAGAGCCCTGCACAAGGTCTGCCTCAGCTCCAGGGCCTCCCTGTGCTCCGGTCCTGGCTACTTGGAACCCAGGGGCAGGGTGGCCTCCGGGAGAGCAATGCACTGGAGCCCTGCCGTCCAGCA